ATGCAATGCCAAAGGTCTCTAGAAATTTGGCTCAAAAAAAGGGATCATAATACCAAGTTCTTTCATGGGAGAGCCTTAAAACACCATGATAGAAATAAAGTATTTCAACTGCAAGATGAAAATGGAGAATGGAGATATGAGGCAAGTAAGTTAAATAAGGTAACCCACTAGTTATTTCAAGAGGTTATTTTCAACAATGTAGCCTAGTGTTATTGGAAAGGTCCTTAGATGTCTACAATGGTGTTGTACTGTAGTAGATAATAGGCTACTACTAGCAAAATTTCAAGAAGAGGAAGTGGAGAGAGCATTGTTTCAGATGCATCCTTCAAAAGCTCTAAGCCTAGATGGTGTGTCTCTTAGCTTTTATCAAAATTGTTAGGGAGTGGTAGGGAAGGATATTATTGTAGCTTATCTTGATTACCTAAAAAATAAGAATGAAATGTAGAGGGAGCTTAATTTTACTCATATTGTCCTTATCCCAAAGTTCAAAGAACCTAAATCAATGTTGGATTTTAGGCCAATTAGCTTATGTAATGTGCTGTATAGAGTTATGGCAAAGGTCTTAGCTAATCGCTTGAAGCAAGTGTTGCCTAAGGTGGTGCCACAAAAGCAGAGTGCTTTATCATTAGGTGCTTGATTAAAGATAATATCTTGGTTGCATTTAAGATACTTCATTACATGAGTACAAGGAAGGATGAGCAGATTGGTTGGCAAGCAATTAAACTCAATGTGAGTAAGGCCTGTGATAGAATTGAATGGCAATACTTGGAGAAGGTGATGATGACTCTTGGCTTTTATTGTTAAGAAGCCAAGAAATTCTAGAGAAGAAGAAAATGGAATGAAAATCAAACTCGCGTTAAAATGAAAATGAACTAGCGTTTACATAGGCTTTACAAGAAAACATTATCTAAAAAGATAACTAACTAATAAACCAAACTTATCTAATCTATTTTAAATGATGACAATCTCAATAATAGGAAAGACAAATAAACAACTTAAACTTCCTAAATTATAGAGAAAAAGGCTAAAAACTAGGATCTAATTTCCAACTATCCTTCCCTTAAACTAAGTCTTCAAACTTCAGTTTAAAGAAATCTGGAAAACACCATGTCTGCAATTTGGAATCTACAGACCTTCCCTCAAATTGAATTCTACAAGCTACAAACACCAAGTAAATCTCTCAGTCTTGAAAAATTTGCTAATTTAAGGGACTTTGTGAATATATAAGCCATTTGACCTTTTGTTTTACAATAAGTCAACTCAATTGTTCCATCTGCTACCAAGTTGCGCAAGAAATGATACCTCACATGAATATTCTTGCTTCTCTTATGCAAAATTGGATTTTTAGAAAGCTTGATAGCTGAACTGTTATCACAATAAGTTGAAGTGGCCTCATGTTGATTCATCTCAAGTTCTTCCAAAACTCTTCTCAACCAAATAACTTGACAAGCACATGAAGTTGTTGCCAAATACTCTACTTCTGTTGTAGACAAAGTCACAATGGGCTGCTTCTTTGAAGACCACAAAACTACACCAGATCCCAACATAAAAACATGCCCAAAAGTGCTTTTTCTATCATCTAGATCTCTAGCATAATCACTGTCTGCAAAACCTATGAGATCTATCTAGTCACCCTTCTTGTAGAATAGTCCAAAATCTACAGTTCCATGTAAATACTTAAGAATTCTTTTAGCAATCTGCAAGTGCAACTCCTTTGGATGCTCCATATATCTACTAATCAGACTTACACCATGCATTATATCTGGTCTTGTTACTGTCAGATACATCAAACTTCCAACAATCTGCTTGTATAATTTGCTATCCACAGATCTACCACTTGGATCTTTCATGAGCTTTACACCTTTGTCAATTGGTCTAGTGACAGAATTGTAGTTCTTCATCTAAAATCTGTCAAGAACTTCCTACATATATTTTTGCTGACGAACAAAAATTCCAGAATCTAACTATACTACTTCCAAACCAAGAAAAATAATGCAAGAAACTTAGATATGTCATATCAAATTCAAGCTTCATGGACTGCTTGAATTTTTCAAACATGCCAAGATCATTCCCAGTATAAATTAAATCATCAACATATAAGCATACTATAATCAATTTACCTCCATCTTCAAATTTGATGTAAAGTATATGCTCATAAGGACACTTCTAAAAATATTCTTTCAAGAAATAAGCATCAATTCAACCATATCAAGCTCTAGGTACTTGTTTTAGTCCATATAATGCTTTATTCAATCTATAAACCTTATGCTCAAAACCAAGTTTCACATAACCAGAGGTTGATCAATGAATACTTGTTATTGCAGATCTCCATGCAAGAAGGTCGATTTCACATCAAGCTGGTAGATTGGCCATGAATTTTGTGCTGCCAATGCAATCACCAATCTGATGGTATCCATCATGCAACTGGAGCAAAAACTTCTTGATAATTAATGCTAAAAACTCTTGCTTGTAACCCTTTGCCACCAAGCGAGCTTTGAATTTGTCAACCTCCCCATTTTCTTTAAGCTATGCCTTGTAGATCCACTTAACACCAATTGTCTTATGCTCTTTTGGAAGATCTGTCAACTCCAAAGTCTTGTTCCTTTCAATATAACCAATTTCTTTTGCAATGGCTTTTTGCCACTTTTCTTCTTTAACAGCCTCTTCATATGTTAATGGATCACAGCTGCAAATAAAGCAAAATGAGTAACTGGATCATCTTGAGGTAGATTTGTTACCTCATAATCCTCCAACCATGTTGGTCTTCTCTTTTTGTGTTAAGGTCATGAACTAGTTCCAGATTCCAGTTTTGGTGTTGTTGGCAAACTTCTTCCAGAACTATGTTCTGCTATTGTAGGTAGACTCTCCTCTTCTACCTTTCTTGAAATCTCGAGGTCTATTGAAGTTAGACCTTCATTCTGCTGCATCTGACCTTTTGAGTTCTGTTTAGTCAGATATTCTCCATTTTTGAAATTTGTAGGAATCTGTCGCCCAGATTTTTTTGTCCAAGACCAAGTGCTTTCTTCATCAAACACTGCATCACGGCTAATGATGACCTTCTTGGTTATAAGATTGTATAATCTGTAAGCTTTGGATTGATCACTAACACCAAGGAAAATACACTTTTCCCCTTTGTCATCAAGCTTACTCCTTTTCTAATCTAGCACATGTGCATATGCTATGCACCCAAAAATTATGAAGTGGTCAATAGTAGGTCTGTGTCCACTTCAAGCCTCGTCTAGCATCATATCTAAAAGTGGAGATGTGGGACTTCTGTTCAAGATATGAACACCCCAATTAACAACTTCTAGCCAAAACTCCTTAGGCAAGCCACTCTTTGACATCAGACTTTGCACCATATTCATGATTGTGCAATTCTTTCTCTCACAGACAACATTCTGCTGGGGTGTATAAGCTGTTGTAAGTTGTCTTTTAATACCATTGGTTTCACAAAAATCTGCAAATTCTTTTGAGTTAAATTCACCACCAAGATCTGTATGTAGAACCTTTACAAATCTGCCAGCCTCATTCTCAGCCAAGACTTTGAAATTTTTAAAGGTTGCTAAGGCTTCTGACTTAGTCTACAAAAAATACACCCATGTTTTGCGACTGTAATCATCGACAAAGGTAATAAAGTATTGCTTACCTTCATTGGATATTAGATTTATGGGTCCACACAGATCAGAATGAACCAGATCTAGCACCCGCTTTGCTCTCCAAGATTCGTCTTTAGGAAAGCTGTCACAGTGTTACTTACTGACCATGTAGATTTCACAAATTTCAGAAGGAAAATCAAAATGAGGAAGACCATTTACCATCTTTTTTTGCTGTAAGGCTTTCAACCCACCAAAATAAAGATGTCCATATCAACAATGCCATAACCACGCTGTGTCCTTCAATCTGGCAGATAAACATGACAGATTTGTGATCTGCAAGTACAATGGAAACAACCTATTTCCCATCATCTTAACCTTTGCAATCAAGCCAAGTTTTGAATCACGAACTTAGCAAACTCCATCTTTAATTACTATTTCATAACCTTTCTACTAAAACTATCCTAGACTAAGCAGATTTGACTTCAAATCTGGTATATACAAAGCATTATCAATAGTTTGAATTGAATTGTCTTTGGCACAAATGGTTTACCTTTCCCTTTCCCTTTCCCTTGACTACAATGGTAGAATTATCACCAAATTTCACCTTGTCTTGAAAAGACTCATCCAGATATGAAATCATAGATTTGTCTCCACACATGTGGTAGCTGCAGCCAGTATCTAGATACCACACATTTTTCTTGTTGACTTCTTTAGGATGACAGACCATGAATAGAGAGGATTCATCATTCTTCTCATTATGTTCCACAAAATTAGAACTTTCTCCTCTATTTAGATTCGCACAACACTCAGAATGATAATGGCCATACTTATGACACCGAAAACATTCAACATTTGCCATTCTTGTAGATTTGGATCTGTTATCTACAGCTTGATAATTTTTGTACTGTCACCTTTTCTAATTTTCAATGGTTGAACTTTCCTCTAGTCTGTCAAATCTTGGTCTGTCAAATCTTGGTCTGCCAAATCTTGGTCTACCTTTCCAATTTTCTTTTCCTCGTCCTACAACCCTTGAATTAACTGTGGTCTGCAAGGCTTGCAACTGCAAAATCTACACTGCTTGCTCTTGTTTGTCTTGATGATTTATCTTCCGCTCATGAACTAACAACGAGTTCTACAACTTATCAAGGGAAAGTGCCTCAATATCATTTGACTCATCAATATCATTTGACTCCTCAATTGAACAGACAACATAATTGAATTTTGTTATCGTGGATCGAAGGATTTTCTCAACTATGACAACATCCTCTAGATTTTCACCATAGATTTTCACCATAGATCCTCATCTTGTTTGCGATTGTCATCATCCTTGAAAAATAATCATCTGCAGATTCACCAATTTGCATCTGTAGACTTTTGAATTCTACCCACAAAGCCTGGCATTGGTGCCGCTTTGCTCTTTCATTCCTGTGCTACTTCTTCTTCATAGAATCCCAAATAGTCTTGGAAGTAGACTTGTTAAGAATTGTTTCCAAGATAGCTTGATCTATGGCTTGGAACAAATAGTTCTTAGCCTTGAGATCCTTCAACTTTTCCTTCTCAATTTCTGCCCTCTGTGCAGCATCTGCACTTGCTGTTGGTTCTGGAACTCCAGCTTCAACAACTATCCAACACTCTTTGGACCGAAGAAAATTCTCCATCAACATACTCCAATGGTCGTAGTGATGACCATCAAAATGAAGGATTGAAGGCTGAACATAATTTTCAAAAGCCATGGAAGCTACTAGGAATAGACTCTGATAACAAATGTTAAGAAACCAAGGAATTCCAGAGAAGAAGAAAATGGAATGAAAACCAAACTCGCGTTAAAATGAAAATGATCTAGCCTTTAAATAGGCTTTACAAGATAATATTATCTAAAAAGATTACTAACTAATAAACTAAACTTATCTAATCTATTTTTAATGATAACAACCTAAATAATAGGAAAAACAAATAAAAAACTTAAACTTCCTAAATTATAGAGATAAAGGCTAAAAACTAGGATCTAATTTCCAACATTTATGAGCGGTGGACTCGCTTAATTATGCAATATGTGTGCATGGTGGAATACAAGGTGCTATTAAATGGTGAAGAGGTAAGACAATTAATTCCATCCCGTGGGTTAAGGTAGGCAGATCCGTTATCCCCATACCTGTTTCTACTATGGATGCAAAAGAAAAAAGCTTGTTCATGGAGTTAAGGTATGTCGACAAGCACCGATGGTTAGTTATCTATTGGTTGCTAATGATAGTTTTCTTTTCCTTAGAGCCTCTATAAATGAGGGTCAAGGTAATATTTTAAAGAAGTATGAGGAAGCATGTCACGCCCCAACCCAAAGGTTTAGGCATAACAAACGCCACACATCTATAGGTTAACCCCATAAACATGTAAAACCATTTTCCTTGACTATCAATACAATTTCCCTTACAATTTAAAAATAAACAATTCCATTAACAAATCTTAATAGTCTCCAAATAACAATGTCAAATTGCTAAACCAAAACCTAAAGTGTCTAACATCTCATTCCATAAACCAAATAAGCTTACAATTGAACTATTGCTAAATTCTGCCAATTTATTCTAACGATCTCTCAAACCCCTTACAAAACCCAATACTCATATTTCCTCACCTGAAATGAGATGAAATTTAAAAACGTAACTTTAAGAACTCTGTAAGTAGTATAACCATCCATTATAACCAAGCATAAAAATTTAAAACTGAATTTTTATTGAAAATAAGACGATAAAGTTACATTTCTTTCTTCAAACCAAATTATTTCATTTTTTTTGGTCCCTTATGACTGTGTAACGTTCCACAATCCACGATCAATGATACTTAATCATCAATCCAGAATACACAATCCACAATCCATAGATACCGGGTCTATCACAATACTAACAATTCAACCCTTACAAGGGTGAATCATATAGCCAGGACAAACAAAATAAACTGCTCCAAAAATAATCATTTTAATAATATTGGAGAAAGACAAATTTAAATTAGCCACCTCCACATGACCACAATTTCATCTCAAACTTAAATAAAAATATTATACTTGGTTCACAATTCATCTCATTCCATCATTAAAACATTTTAGTAATAATCATTCTCAAAAAAAAAAAAAATAAATAATATAAATCAAAATTGGACAAAAACCATTTTAAATCTATCAAATTACTTTAAAAACACTGGAGGGAATAGCTACTTACCTCAATAACTATCTTTCAATTGCAATTACCACACAACTATTCAAAACCTAAATAAATATCAAAGTAAACATAATTCAATAACTAAATAAAAATTTATCATGTACTTATCAAGAACTTACTAAAATAATTCTATAACACATGCCACTAATATACTCTTCTTCAAACCTGACCACTCCAACACATGATTCCCCCCTAAAAATTCCTCATATCATGCCACCCAAATTCACAATTTAAAGATCAATTCCACACCCAACAGTAAAATCAATTTCTCAACCCATGCCTCTACCCATTCTCTTCATTTCCAAATTCCTAAATATTGTAAACTTAAGAAGATAATTTACTTTGGATTTAGTCTAGTATGGCCAAATCCCTAAAGTTCAGTTCCCCTTGCAGGCGAAAGAAGAAGACAATCCTGTTCGCCAGAAAAGGAAGAAAATTGAAACTGCCAAATTGAATCTAATGAATTGAATTTGATTTGGGTGTTTCTTTTCAAAAGGAAATATTGCTACTTAGTCTCTAAGCTTTAATTATAAGGTTTAGTCCCTGTGTTCCTCACCTCATTATAATTTTAACCCCAAATTTAATCCTATCAAATATACACCCTCTAAGAGCTTAAACAATTTATTTAAATCATAAGTAAGAAATCCTTGGGTATTACATCCTCTCCCCTTAAAAGAGTTTAGTCCTAAACTCGTACTTATATTGACAAATAGGTATGGATACTTCTCCTTTGCATCCTCCTCCAACTCCCATGTTGCTTCATGTTCAGTGTGATTACTCCATTGAATTTTAACATAAGGAATTATACGTCTTCTTAGCACTTGCTCCTTCTTATCCACAATATGAATTGGTTTGCTCCTCATAAGACAAATCCTCTTTGAATTGATGATGAGTTTAATTTTTATATGCATTTATCTACCCTTTTTGAGCCTAGAATTAAATTTTATGGTCTTTTGTAACTTAGTTTCACCTTTGTTTATATTAAATTTATTATTTGTAGGTGGAAATTAAGATAGGAATTAATTTTGCAATAAGTGACAATTTGCACATACTGCAGTAATTTAACCATATCTTTTTCTCTAGGTATCGAATTGAGTTGATTCTTCAGGCGTTGGAAAGCTAAGAAGCAGAGCTACAATTGATGTTTTATGAGCTCAACCCAATTCCTTCTGTATCAATACAGAATTTAAGTTGAAAGTGACGGTTTTGACAATAGACAGTGCAGAAATAAAGAGACTTGGGCTATGTTTTTTTTAAGTGTGGGCCAACTGCAGTGCAGGCCCAAAACAAAACCCATAACCCATGTCTGCTAGGGTTAAAGGAAATAAGGGTTCTAATTTCTTTGATATATATAGATGCTACTCGGCAGAAAGAAAGGGGCCACACAGACGGGAGGAAGTTGTTCTGCGCAAGGTCAAGAGCACCCAGCCGCCCACATCCCAGCCACCCACATCTGTTGTTCACCAGCAGCAGAAGAGGACAGCCGCACGAGATTGCTCTGCACATTGGAGGAAAAGCCGCCGCCCAGCCTTGCTCGGAGGGACCCGAATCCAATCTACAAAGAGGACCCTGAAATCTGCTTCTTCACCGCCCAGCCTTGCTTCTTCTCCGCTCAGCCTTGCTTCCGGACAACAGCACACTATTCAGCAAACTGCAATTCTCCATTGTTTGGGTTTTGTTGTTTCTGATTGCTTTTTACTATGATTTTTTGTTGGAATTTATTTTTCATGGCTGTTGAGAACATAAACATGAGTGGCTAGATTTCTTTGAACTAGGGTTTGGTGGAATTTAATTTTTGGATTATGTGATTGTTTTTGTTAGTGTAATTCAAGATTTATTGGTTATTTGCATGATAAGTTTATATTATTGAACTTAATGCATTGAGAGCTTGATCACCTTTCAATTGATTTAGTGATTTATGCATGAACTTGAGAAAGAATTGTGTAAATTAGACCAATAATAATATAAACCGTGTGTTAGACTATGAGACCGAGAGGTAATTAGCTCACATGTGGTAGTGGAGGGAGAGAAGAGAGTTAGGAGCTCCCCCTTCTTAAGCTAGAGGTTTCCATAGAATTTAATGCTCATAAGTTTGTTTAAAATTACATAGAGATATGATTAATTTAACAAATAAGTGAAGGATTAACTTGACTTAAGAAAGCTAGTTAATTAATTTAGGGAAATCTGCCATCACATGCAATAACACTATTATTTGAACTTGAATTAAATTAATAAAATAGTTGCATAATTCAGAATTAAATGAAGTCTAAACCCTAGTTCCTTCTCATTCATAGTTTCTTTAATTTAGAAAATTCTTTAGTTTCATTTTTTTAGTTGACTTAGTTTTCTTTTAAATAGTTTAGTTTTCCCTATTAATTGGTTAATTCAACTTAGGTTAAATTAATAGGGTCTTGGTAGTGTAGGATAGTCCTCGAGGGAACGATATCTTACTCATCTTATACTGCATAATCAATTAGGTTCACTTGCCTAAAAGTAGTGCGTATTCGGAGCAACAATTGAAGTGGAGAATGTTCAATTACATGGCTAGGGTCTGAAACATATTTCCTTAGCATGGAGACATGGAAAACATTATGAACTTCTGACAAATTAGGTGGCAGTATTAATCTGTATGCTACCTCTCCAACTCTCTCCAAAATCTCAAAAGGACCAATGAACCGAAGATTAAGTTTTCCTTAGATCCCAATCCTCATGACTCCTATAGTTGGTGAAACTTTCAAGAAAACCTTTTCTACCACTTGAAATTCTAGATCACACCTTCGGTTATCAACATAACTCTTTTGCCTACTTGAGCTATACATAGGCATTCTCTAATTATTTGTACCTTCTTTACGGTCTACTAAACAAGTTTCGGTCTTAACAATCTTCTTTCTTCCACATCATCCCAACATATTGGGGACTTACATTTCCTGCCATATAAAGCCTCATAAGGCACCATCTAGATACTTGCCCGATAACTATTCTTGTAGGCAAACTCAACTAAGGGCAAATGTTCATCCCAAGCACCTTCCAAATCTAAAACACAAGCTCTCAACATGTCTATGAACAACTCTTGATATTTCTTTTTCATTTCCTCATCCAACTTTTATGTTGTTTCTCTTCTCGTTATGGGTACCCTACTATAACTTCACAGCAATTAAGCCATGCCTTCTTTATTTTCCTCTTCAATCATCCTTCTAAAGTAAAGGCAATCTCATGGTTTCCTAGATTTTCATGAATGACTCATCAATCAATCATAAGACCATATGGGTACCAGAAATCAATCTTTGCATAACTTCTTAAATTAATCCCACTCCAATTCATGATCACAATTTCTAAACTTTGTTAAGTCATAAATCAACCAAAATCATTTAGCACTATTCAAAGAAATAATTCATCATAATTTTAAACCTCAAACCTTAATTTCACTAAACCTTCTTCGTTAATTCCTTAAAATCACAAGATAAATTAAGTGATCAATACAATAATCCTTCCTATTTCCTTATCATATTACTCTACCAGTCTATCTATTGACATACCAGTATTGGTGTGAAGAAAATCAACACACTTAATCAACCTATTAATGATAACCAAATTCACTATCCTTGAACAATTTATTACTATAATTCTAATTAAGCACTATTTTAAGTCATGTCTCCAACTAATTTCCTTCCTCAGGCAAATCATTTTTCTACATGTGTGGTTCTAATGTTCTTTATTGGCTAAGCTACACTTACAAGCAATTACGAGTTTACCCAAACATGCTCATAATCTTTCATATTTATCTAATCCCCTCAAAACAACTCCTTTTAGTAACTGAATATGGTAAACTATACAAAAACTTCCTACTCAAAGAATCTGCAACCTTGTTAGCCTTACTAAGATAAGCAGCAATGATCATTCATAATCCTTCAAAACTCTAATCACTATTTTTATGTCTCATATTCATGTCTATCCAACAAGATAGACTTTTAAAATTAGTAAAAATTTTACAAATCTTCCACTGTACAGGTAATTCCTCAATATTAAAAAAA